TAGTTTTGCAATAGTAAATTTATAACAATAGTTTATAATAGCTCAATATATAAATGTTTAATGAGAGATGGGCACCTGATAAGATATTTGTTCCGAAATTGTCGTCTGTGGGAGATTTTTTTGTTGTTGAGAAAACTTTCTTTTTATGCTTACATTACTTGAAAAAAATTATATGTAACTATAATATAATAGAATAAATATAAATATAAATATAAATACTATAAATATAAATGTGACTTTTGAAAAATTTACTGTACTCATGATGGAATGTAGATGGAATGGTGATTTCATAATTTATTCCGTGTAACTTCCACAGCAAAAATTTGCTCATATGTTTATGTGACAAGGTTAATTACGATGATTACTATGATTTTGTCGTGACAATTTCTTTCACTTGTTGATTGTTAATACGTAACTAATAATACGCTTAATAAACTGAATAACGAACTAACATTGTTATATTGTAAATAAATAAAGTTTACTAGCCAAAGAAAGTACAAGCACCACAAGACCAATTTCCAATGCTGTTAAACATCATATTCAAGCAACACAACATATAATTTTTCTCTGACATTACGCGTGATCTTTACTTCCTTAGGAAGTTGACGCCGGTAATTTCTAGACCCCGTGGTTAAGTGAAATAATATTGGTCCAAAGGAACGATCAAAAATTTAAAAAACTATTTAAAAAAAAACTTGGGGAATTATGATGAAATATTTAAAGAAATATGAAATGTTCAAATAATATTGAATAATATTGAATAATATTGAATAATATTGAATAATATTGAATAATATTGAATAATATCGAATAATATCGAATAATATTCAAATAGCTGAAATAATAGAAATGACTGAAATAACAACAAATCGTTTACAACTCGAGAATGCCGAGAATGCATTTGCAATATATCAGGCAGGTATGGTAGATGCCAATCAATTTTTTGGCGTTATTCCTAAAGTTATGCATGCATATACTTTATGCCATTAACGAGCGAACCATCTTTTTAACCGCCTTGGTTCTTTCTTTACAACGAAATCATACCAGATACCTGATACATACTTGATACATAAGTACTTATGTATGCACATATCCCGAAGTCACAGAAAATCATGGTTGGTTCTCGAAAAATCACTGGGGATGTCGCGTGAGTTTGTGAAATATGTTGATTCTTGTTTTGTTCAAATTATATATGCGCTATGTAGATCTAAAGATGTTGTGTTTATATTTCTCTCGTTTTGAGTGATTTTAAGTAATTTCCGTGCAACTTTAAATGAATCTGATAATTTTGAATCAATTTCACTTCCAAGCCTCTTGCTGCACAAAAAGCACTATGAAATAAATGTACGTACCTATCATTATACTTCATTATGCTTCATTATGCTTCATTATGCTTCATTATGCTTCATTATGCTTCATTATGCTTCATTATGCTTCATTATACTGTTATGTACATACCTACCTACATACCTATGTACGTACATCCGTACACTTAGTCAAATGATCAATCTATTCCTTAATATTAACATTATCTATCATTATTGTTATACTATATTACTGTATTAGCGTGACACCTAACATGTGTACATATATAACCCTGCATTAATGCATATTCATGCATATTTATGCATGTTTCATCGTCTGCCGGTTTGGTGATAACGTGATATTCCATCTTGTTTTTCATCATCTTTATAATATTAGTAATAGGGTATCTATAAATGGTCATTTAAAAAGGTGGAGAAAATTTTCTACTTATATAAGTTATACGTACGTACGTACTTACTTACTCACGTACTTACGTACTTACGTAGAATAATGGTGGTAAGTGTTAATATTTTTCTTTATTCCAGATTTCTTCTCGTTTTTTTTTCTCTCCCGTATCTCCTATATTTCCCCATATTTCCCCATTTCCCATATTCCGGCTCACTAAACATATATATGCATACACTTAATATCACCCCAACTCAATCTTGTTATTTCATTTACAATTACGTCATTTATTTATTCTTTTTCAAGATCTTAACAAGAAGATCCTGTCATATTTAAACGTGTCATAATTTCATGGTCCAACATTTGTCCATCATATTCATTCAAAACTAAACGCTAATATTATTTTTATATTTCTTCCTAGAATTCTTGAATTCTTGAATATTCTAGAATCCTTGACTTTATCAACTTAACCTATCGATCAGCTAAACTAATTATGGCTTAATTATAAAAAGTTCACCGGGAAGTCTGTTTCTACGTAAAAATTCTATGATTTCAGCTCATCCAAAACAATTTGACTCCCCCCGTGCGAATATTTTTTTTACTCCCTCAAAATCACCCACGCACAAACAATGATTTATTCGTACGTACGTACGTACAGTACGTACATGCAAGATTATGCTAAGTATGAATTACTTTTTATTAATGATATCGAACATAAATATTTCATTTTATTACAATCATCGTTTCATTATCGTTAATTATTGTTAATTATCGTTATTATCGTTAATTACTTATTATAATATATCTACTGTATATCAGATAATATCTCTTTTGTAATCATTGTCTCCTCATAATCTCACAATCTCACAATCTCACAATCTCATAACGATAACGAAATGGTTAAAGTCGTTTACAAGAAAACGCTCGTGCCTCCCATCTTCTCACGCTTTGGATTTATTTGTTCATTTATGACATATTTCTTTTTTTTTTTACACACGGTATTGCACACGGTATTACACACGGTATAACGCACGGTGTAAACACATAGTATATATACGGTATACGTCTGGTATACATTTTATAATTTTATTTCTTTTTTTGTTGATATTCATGTTCTTTCACGTTAAAATATTCCTTATCAGTTTCATTTTTGTCTTTGATTATTAATCAATTTCTATTTCTACATGCTCTCGGTTTATTAACCATTACAGATTTCATGTGCGTCCGACTTAATTGTGTAATTATGTGATTAGAATGAATGAAAATGAATAACCGGTTAAAAACTCGTTTTATTTAACCAACAAACAACCTCTGACCCTGTGACAAACTTCTCTTACCAGCTTTTAAAGGATAAACTTGCATAGGTAACATGTATTTAAGTTACACCTAGGTCCTGCTTTTACAATTATTTGTTTATCTTGTCCTCCGTCATAAGAATTGACTTTCTTAATTCAGGATTAGTTTCCTGTTTTTTAATTTTAGAAAAATGGCTTTTGCTCAGTCTTGGCCAACTAGTCCAACTGGTCCAACAAGACGCGCATATTTTTATTCTGCTTTAGTTGATTTTCGATTATTCAAATTGATTTTATGTCTTTTTAAGAATCTCCCGCGTATTTAGCCACTAAATGCAAGATCTATTTAATTTACCCTTTAAATATTCTGTCCAATAATAATTCACTTATTAAATCATTTTTTTAATTCTCACAATATCTCAATTATCACTTTATCACTTTCACTTATCTGGATCACATGATCGACAAACTACAAACTATCTCTATCGATTGCGTTATTTACCTAAAACTTTATTGACATTGATAATGTAAATCCTTCTAATTTGGTATTATCAATTTTTCATAAATATCGATATGCATGCAAATTTCGTACTTACTTGCGTATTTCACGTACCGTAAGTACGTGTGTATGTACATACGTATGTACTTACTCTGAAATTGCCTTTAGCGCCAGCCTAAACCATATTGAATTTAGTGAATTTTTTTAATTTGCATTTGAGTAATTATCGTTATTTTAAAGTTTTTGAAAAAATAACCCGCTTCCCGAATAAGTCAAATTGCTTCATGTTTATGTTATACATTTCTATACATTTCATGTGATATCTTTAATTTCTTTTACAAATATATATTTATCACCCTATCGCCTCATAATTTCTTTTATATATCACCTTTATAATACTTTATAATACTTTATAATACTTTATAATTTCTTTTACAAATATACTTATCTTTTATCACCACC